TGTGGGGGCGGGTGTGGCTAGATGTGGGCTGGGTGTGGGTTAACTATTAATCCACAACCCTGCACACCCACCCCCACACCCACGCCCACACCCACACCCACACTCACACCCACACCCACACCCACACCCACACCCCACCCACACCCTTCCAAGGGAGTAACGCTCGGATTTTAAACAGCATCAATAACAAATTTTATACCAAATGAAAGCGCGTCAGAAACCGGATTTTTCAGTATTAAATGGTAAAGATTCCTCCATTTTTTTAATATCAAACATAACAAATCTCTTGGAAAAGGTTGTATAAAAATGGTTTTCCACGAAGATAACGCTGTGCTTTCAAATAACATCCATAACAAATTTTATATCAAATTAAAGTGCGTCGAAAATGGGATACATCAGTACTAAATCGTAAGGGTTATGATAAATTTTCAGTATCGAATTCAGGAAATTCCTAGAATTTCACGCCATATCGACAGAGAAAAATTTCTGTCATGAGGTAGTTTAAACTAGATCGCATTTAACATTAAGAATACCGCGAAGGAAGATTTTCTTTTTTGAAGTTTGATGAATTGAACCAATAATCAGTATGACAACTATTAGCTTTCGTCACAACACGAAGATGAGAAGAATAAAGACATAAAATAGTTTCAAATATCACAATGTTTATTTTTATGTTTCTTAAAATATATGAACTAGGTTTTTCCAGTTTCCTCATCATAACGATTGTGTTTCGTCTTTAATAGAATTTTTTCAGCTTTGCCTTTGGTTATCGTTCCAGTATTTTCAGGTTAAGTATCGAGTATTCTGTGATATTGGGAAATTTCGATCGAATCTGCTCTGAATTATTCATGAAAGAAATTTTTCTCTGTCGATATGGCGTGAAATTCTAGGAATTTCCTGAATTTGATACTGAAAATTTATCATAACCCTTACGATTTAGTACTGATGTGTCCCATTTTCGACGCATTTTAATATGATATAAAATTTGTTATGAGTGCTATTTGAAAGCATAGCGTAATCTTCGTGGAAAACCATTTTTATACACCCTGTTCTTAGAGATTTGTTATGTTTGATATAAAAAAATTGGAAGAACCCTTACCCTTTAATACTGAAAAATCCTGTTTTTGACGCACTTCCATTTGGTATAGAATTTGCTACTCATGCTGTTTAAAATCCGAGCGTTATCCCCTTGGAAAAACATTGTTGCGCACTCTGTAAACTAGGATTCCTAGGTAAGAGCGGAAAAGGATAGAGGTCTCTTCTTCTGCCTTTCTCCACGCAATGGTTGAGTCTCTGCGCAATTTCTTGATAATTTCTGTCAATAATTTCAAAGCTCCGTGGTAACTTTGGACTGAAACAGGATTTTGAAACATCATCTACCTTTCTGTGGTAGACAGAAAAAAAAATAAGCGTATAATATAATTATGAGGTGAATAGGATTAAGGAAATAACAGCCCAGTGGTAGATCATCTGTTGCGTCAGAGATTGGATCACCGTGAGTTGCGTTTCATCACACTATTCTCTCGCTCCTGTCACCATTTGTAGCACTTCAAGAGACTTAGTTCTATCTGTATGCAAGTTCAATAGAATGAAAGTGTAAATTTAATCTTCTCAGTATCTATCGGCAATCGTATTTTATACAGTTCAGAGATAAACGTCGAACAGAACGCTTCTATTAGATTTTATCGTATAGGATAGGATAGGACAACATTGCCTATTCGATTGAAATCGGGCAAAAATCAGCGATGAGCCGACAATGAACCGGCGATAATTCGATACTTCAACGATCAGCTATATTCTGACCGCCATCATAATGTGGTATACCGATAATAATTCTTAGACTGATACTCTACCCTCGGTATACCACCGGTAGTGCGAACAAGCCTTTTTGTGATCCTATCTGCTTGACAGTGAATCAAATGAATTGATCTCACAAATCGAATAGGTTAAAAAGATTTACAAGCTCTAAGATTATTATGCCCACATTCGATGGTAATGCGTATTCACTATCATCATTCTCAATATAAAAGAAAACTCTCTCTCGCATTTGTTGTTGAATATACTATAAGATAGAAATAAATTCTTTATTCACTTAGGTGTTGACAAGAAATTTATTATTTTTTTTTCTGTTAAGATCATTATCAATTATTGTCAATTCTGATTATTCAAAAACATTCATCGACAATGATGAATCAAGTCATCCAACTACTCTTAATTATAAATCATTATTAACTATAGCTATATGTACATCATCATCATCATCATCAGCAGCAGCAACAGCAACAACACTTCTTCAACAACATCAAGAAACATTATCATTACTTGATCAATCAACAATAAAATGACAAGCATTATCAATAACTAATAATGAATCAACTATTTCAACATCTCATATAAGTATAGCAATAACAACAATATATCTCGCATTTAAAAAAAATATCTATACCAAGAAATAATTCAATAATTGAAGAAATTCATCATAATGATGGACATATTGAGCGTATTAAATCTGATTTATCTAAACAAATTCTATTTCCAAATGATTCAAAACAAGAAATAAGTTCTGATGCTAAATAAATACGTGTTCATTTTTATAATGGTGATTAAAAATAAAAATTATCTAATGGTCGTTGTATATATAAATATGTAAGTACAAATACAACTGAAACTGAATATTCAGATGGTACACATATATATGGATTTTCAAATTGAGAAATTGAAAAACGTTTGCCTGATGGACGACAAGAAAATATATTACCTGATAAAACAAAAAATATTTATTTAATTGATACTACATTAATATCAAATAAAACAAATGAAGAAAAATTTATTCAACATCCAAATCAAACAAAAGAGCTTCATACAGATACATACAAAAGAAAATTATTTCCAAATGGTTCGATTTTAACTGTATTTAATACTGGTGAACAAAAAGTACGATATACAGAAGAACAAAATTAAAATTAAAGATGCACAAGACAATATTATTGTAAAAAAAAACCTCCAACAAATAAGATTAATAAATAAAAAAGATCTTTTTGTTTTCTGTTTATTGTTTCTCAGGTAGTTATATATGTGTGCTCCTTAAAATTCGTCCAAGTCTTTTTTTTTTCTAATTCTTGTCTTCTACTCTTGGGTAGTATAATTCACAATATTCTTTGTAACTGTTTTCATCTAATGATTGTATAAACAATCCTAGATTAATAAACTTGTAATGTCAATTAAATGAATTGATTCATGTCTAATTTTTCAGCTTTAACAATATCATAAAGTTTGTTCTCATTATATTTTGGCTTCTAGTTTTCTACACAATGTTCAGTAATTCAGCAAGATATGAGTATGCGGTATGTGGATGTGAATGACGTTGGGGAGTGAAGTGGGATATGCGTGGGCGAAGACAAGAGCCTTACCTACACAAATATCCTTACTCACACCTACATCCTACGCCCACATAGTTCGACTCTTTGATTGAGAAATAAAATTCTACATCCGTTGATATAACAATAGATCTTTCATAGAGCAAGTCTGGCTTTTGACAACATGACTTTCCAAAGTGCACCCAAACAAAAGAACGACAGATGTCAGTTTGGAGCCTTATTTTCCTGAGCAACAGCACTAGGAATAGTGTACTGCGTGAATGATATTTTTGATCGCAATCACCAAAAAATCTTCTAATCACCTACGATCACGATCGTGCATGACCGTGAATTCGACGATCATGCAGTACATTAATATCTAATCGGCTTACGTACTTCGCTGTATTTTGTTAAAGTAACATATTAATGATCAGCTTTTATTCTGTTTCAGAATGTGAACATTAAATTTCTGAATAAATATTTAAAATTTTGAGTGTATATCTTACAATCGTGATCAGAAAATCTTAGCTTCTATTACGATCATGAGGAAAACTCTTTGGTCATTCATAGTCACGATCATAATCATGAGAAATTCTTTTAATCGCACACGATTAAACAATACACTAACTAAAAGTCTTGAAAAGGTGATGGAAAGATAGTGTACAAAATTCTCTATTTATTGGTATTAATTACTTTACTTTTAGTATTGGTTTTGATGAGCAAAGCTTTACTCTAATCAATAAATGTTAACAGAAAATAGGAAATCGCAGTTCAATGATGGAATTGATGTGAGTTTTTTTAATCAGGGGTTCACAGAAAGATCTTATTTGAAAAATATAATAGACAGCCGTTTAGAGCTTGAAATTCTCTATTTTCTAATATATAATCAAATATTTTTCATACACAGAAAATCAACGAAAAAAGTAAAAGTATTTAGAGTATAAGCTTCACAAAAGTGATGTCCGAAAAAAAAATATTAGTTCTTTCAGATCCGCAGACGCACGTATACGTCCATGTCCCGACAGGATGAATAAAGTCAATCAAAATGAAAATTAATTGAGTATGACTGATTCCGTAGCTTCCAAATTGATACCGAAAATTAAGCCAATTAAGAAAAAAACGGTAGCAATTTGGAATGAATAATTTTACGATGATTTCATTTTTTATTCGATTCCAAATTG